TGATTAATAAACAACAGAGTAGGTATAATATGATTTTTTAAATTTAATTTTAAAATCACTTAAGTGTTTTTCACCGAAAACCTTTTTAGTCTTCACTCGACACTCACTCACAATCAACCCAACATTAAATCATATTATAACACTCAGGTTTATTTTTAGACATTTACTTAATAATTTTCGTTATTGTGTAAAAAAAAGAAGATCCCAAACTCACTTCAAAATGTGTAGTGCAATATGTCTTCATTATATAATGATCCAGTATCGGAGTTTTAATTTCGTGTCGACTTGTTTTGTATTCATTAATAAACTTACGTAGGTACAGAATTGTGCTTTTTTACAGTCCAGTTTTTATTAAATTAAAATCTATTAAAATTTTTACAGTATTTTAGGTACCTACTACTACCTAGTTATAATTGTTTAATAATAGTCAGCTTTAATATACATACAAAAATCCTTTAGAAAAATGTGATAATTTGTCAATACAAACTAAATTGTTATATTATAATATAATATATTAGTAGGTAAATAATTATTTATTCTAAAATTCAAACATTTGCCGCTATTTTAATTACTGTATTAATGATGAGTATTTTTATTTTTTGATAACTGAATATATTATTATATAACATATACCGATAACCGGCAAACATTAACTACACCTACGTATTTTGTAAAAATTGATTAAAAAAAGGAGTTTTGTTATTTTGATTGCATCACTTTCGCCGTAAAAATAATAATTTAAATTGATATTGCCAAAAAAATTTTTATGATCAAAGATATTATTAAAAATCTATAGTTCTAAAATATCTATTTCGACATCTTCGTCGTTAATGCAGCAATTATTTTAATTTTAATTATTGCCTTGCCATGATATAATATTTTCTACATCTCGTTTTACAAAATACCTATACATAATAATATATTTTGCATAGACATCTTACTTTCGTCCTATATTTGACTATGCCTTAACATTGACCCACATGTTTCTGACCAACATAGAAATAGTAATACAATAATACTAATAACTATGTTCGTTGCATTAGCATAATAATTTTAAAAATTCCACTAGTCCTTGGTGAGGTATATCAATTTTTTTTATTCGAATAGCATATTATATAAACGACGAGTTTCGTCTGTCTTAGAGTTATTTTGTATCTACAGTGTAGACTTCAAAGTTCAACAGTTTTAAAATGCAAATATAAAGAGGCATCTGAGATAATAGAATTTTGGAAATGCCTACCCGAGGAAGATTTTCCAGAATTACATAATGTAGCGTTGAAATTGGTTTGCAGATTTGGCTCTACATATATATGTGAGAAAAGTTTTTCGCGGATGACTTTCATTAAAAATAAGTATAGAACCAAACTAACAAATTCTCATTTGAAAAATTTGATGCTTCTATCCTCAACTAAACTTAAACCAAATTATGAAGAGATAATATCCATGAAGCAAATTCAACATACCTAATCATTAAAAAAAAACATTGCAATTGAACTGTAATAAAAATGGTACCTATGAAAAAAATTTAAAATTTATATTTATGTAAACTTTGTAAACTGTAAAGAAATAAATATTTTTTAAGGCACATTCTCAAATTTGTATACATTATTTGGCACAATATAAAAAAAGGTTGGCCACCCCTGATCTACACAGTGTATTGATTGACCTACGAAATTAATAGATAATAAAAATAAAGATTTATCCTAATAAAACAAAAATGTATCGTTATAAAAGTGCCAAACATATATATTTTGCATTATTTTTTTATGAACTGTGTACATTTTTTTCAACCGCGTTATTGTTTACTTTCAAATGTATTCGTAATAGATACTTCGAGTATACCTATATAAATATAATAAAATAATATTATTCCGTGTTATAAAGATGACATTTATATATTTTCTAGTGGATATATGTTTTTACGTAGGTAGTCTATTATAATATGACTTTAAGCTACCTAACGCGTTTGCTACCTGTCGTAAACTTCAAACTGGATCGGATAGAATCTTCAGTGGCATCCGACACTATTCTGTTCGAGAAGTTTCCGCATAGGTATATTGTATTAGCCACCTGTTATCTATATTTGCATATTATGCAGTCACACACGTTGCAGCATGCCATTAGTGAGTCGTTAAATCTAATATACCTATACGATTTAATAGGTATAGCACTGAATTCATCTAGTTACGAGTTACAATAATAAATAATGTGTTGTCCTTTTTATATAATATGTAGATTGCAGATGTACTTACTCATAATTAAGATGGTATTTAAATAATTGTATTTACAATTCAAACGACTTAGCATTGTAGTATAATGATTATACGTAGGTTACACGACTACATGAGCGGACGAGAGTATCAATATAAGATCAATGATATTAATTTAGTATCTCAAGTCTAGATAAAAATTATTGTTAAGATTATTTCATATTATATTATACCTATACTATATTCTGGTTTTATTTACATTTCTAATCGTTCAAACATTCGAAAGAGAACATCACTTAATTATTTCTCTAATAATATTAATGACGATATCAAGTTTATTGAAATCTTAGTATAAATACTGGAGTCTCATTGACTTGTAACTATAATAATAACTATATTCACAAAAATACCATGAAATAATTCACTTTATTATATCATTACATTTTTTTAAATATGGAAAAACAGCAAATATACTTGTCATATTTATTGCAACTTTTTCTAGCGACTTTTACTTTGAAATTTTGAAAATATTCTAGCTACATTTTTCAAATAACATGGACAATGAAAAATCCAAAAAACAAATTACTATTAATTTAGTAAAAAAATACAATTTCAAACACGATAATATACATAAATACATCTACAACGAATTAAGTTGGGTAAATGGTAAAAAAACTACCGTCGTCGTGAATAATCTTTGTGAGATATTATAATATGCAATATATATGGAAAGGTTAATAATTAAAAACGTTTAATTCTATTATGAATATTTCAATATGATAATTATGATCATCGTGATTTGATAAAATATATAATATTATAATGATGATTCATGTACCTACCGTTCATTAGTAGTGATAAGAAAAAAAGGGAAAATCAATAAGCTTAGATAGGTATATATTATAGTGGTTTATATGTATATAAATTATAATATATATAAATATATAATATATACGATCTGCGGAAATGCCCATTTCGTTACTATAATTTATTGTATTTCTTTATTATAATCCATTTACCTTTTTCTTCTCAAAAGTATAATACCTATATTATATACGTACTAGCTATATGTTTGGGTATTACTTTTGTATTTATTTATATAATATAATACAGTAGTCTTCAAACTATGGGTCGTGACCCAGTTTTGGGTCGGGTAAGCTTTAAGGTAAGCTTTAAGAATAAGTCAGTTATAAAAGCACTTCTACAATAGCATATTCTAAGACATTAAGGAATTTGAACTTTTTTTTGGTTAACAAAACTGACATGCGTGGGTAGCATAAAATGTATGGTAAAAAAAATTGGGTCGAGAGTCAAAAAGTTTGATGACCACTGCTATAAAACGTTTAACCCAGCGGACTGTTAATAAGTGATTCTGATTCTTACATAGAAATGGTTTCCATCATGGTATTCGATCTTTGACACCTATATTACTATGCATATGGTTTATACACAAATATTATATAAGTGTCAAAACTTAATCTCACGTGTTTGATGTTGCCCCCCCCCCCACAACCATTTAAAAATCTTCCGGAAAAATGTTTTAGTTATATAAAAGCCCGCATTAATTGTAAGTAATTGTAAGCTCATCCTCGGAATTCGTAAGTTGACAGTATTGAAGTTACGGTGGCAACCCCTCCCCCTCCTACTAACACGACCAAATTGTAGTTAAATATCTTTAATTGTAAGTAATCGTAAGTTCATTCCCAGAATTTGTAACTTACAATTTTCAACTTTTTAGTTTCAATTTTTTTGGGGCGATTCTTTTTACCGTGGGGGGAGAGGGGTGTCCAGTCGAGGATGGATCCAGGGGTGGCTAGGGTCCCAGCCCCACAGTCATATTATTTCTCCAATTTTCATAGGGACATTTATTTAAATAAACATTGACCTAATAATTATTATAGTTATATAATAATGTATTATAATCAATAATCATTAATTTATTGATTCATTACATTAAGATTATACTAATATCGGGAAAACATTTTAAACAAAGAATAAAGTGTATATTGTAATAATATATTTGTGTTGCAAAAAAATTGGTGGCCCCCTCCTCCCAGATCTTTGCTCTGGATCCGTGCCCGTGACTACTTGTCTCCAAACTTCAATATAGCACCTCTGCACGGCGTTTGACTGCATACTACCTAGACATAAAACGGCTCATTAAACCCATCGATCCATAGTCGGTAGATCACATAGATATGACAGACGTTTACATTATCATATAGTAGCAATGAAAATATTATAACGTATTAATGTGTATTATTATCGCTTCCGGAATTTGCCGCCGCAGCCTCCGCCGCGATGTGCAATAATGATATATGTGGATGAGAATGACTCACTCATCCAAACACATCATAATATGATACATTATATAAATATAATATATATAATACGCGATTAAAAAAACTTAACAACAATAATAATATTACCATCCGCGGTGACGTACAATCGTATATTATCGTATTATTTAGTATGCATATATACATGGGATGAGAAATCGAGCCGGTATAAGTACGGCAGACGGACGGCCGTTATCGATTCATAGTACAACGCGGTCGGCTGTGGAAGTTTGTCATCTCATAATACAACAATATAGTACACACGCCGGAGTCGTCGTGTTCAATACCTTTTTTTGGTTTTTTTTTTCTTTTGTATAGACGCGATTCCAGTCGATCGTTTTGTTATAATATTATAATATCAAACTCGGGGTAGTGAAACCCCGCGAAAATTAACTTTTTACAATAATACACACTCTTTTCGCGTTCTCGTTTCGCATATGCCGGCTGCAGTATGAAAAATATAAAATTTTCATTCCTCAGGTCATCAATTGCGGTTAAGCAGTTAGTCGTCAATCTGCTGGTGGCGCCGATTATTGTTACGCTGACAACCAACACTCCAACGACGTCCGCCATGAACTTGTTCGAAAATTACAGCTTGTCCACAGTGAGTATTTACCTATACCTGTATTATACACTATCGATATTGGTATGTGCTTTTTTTTTTTGAAATACACCAAAAGCCAAAGCGTTTTCAACATTTTTTGGTTTCATTCAACAACCAACAAGTAATACTGTATTACTGCGTGTATATTACTAAAGCAGCTAATTAGACTAGCTATAGGTATTTAAGACACGCGTTTTCAAATTTGCCAGTATATTTATAATTAATTAACAATTATTTTCTCTGCGATGTTTGTTCTTAATTAATATACAATTAAAATGCAATTTACTTGAATAAAATATTTTATCTACGCATGTATAGCATGTTATATATTATATCGAAAATACTCTTCATACAGTACCAACAAAGAAACAACGACTTTAACCTTATTGCAGTTATAACTTACTTATAATGGTATTGGACATTGGTCGTTATATACGCATTGTTAATAACAACAGGATACGGTCGTTCAATTTACAATTATCGTACAATTACAGTAGTATTAATCAAACAACCGTTCTAGTAAGATTTATTGGTCCATTATCATAATGATATTATGTGCACTCCATTAAACGTCCTATAATCGAACACATCCATTTCTGTAATCTTAAAACAATATTTTATTTAAATTTAAAATAAATAGACGAGACTTCAGTAGTGGGGCAATAAAAAAAAAACTAAATACAAATAAAATACAATTTTAGGAAAACTTCGAAATAAGTTCTCTGATGGTATGAATTAATTGGTTCTATCGACGTATCAAATTATTCACACGCATCTATGATTACAAACTGTAACTTTATGAAGAAGCCAATATTGACAATTGTATAAAAGATTTCATTCAATCATCTCATTAAAACTCACTAATTCAAAACATATCTCCTTTATCAATTTCTGCAGGTAATCCTCGTAGACGTCTAAAGCATAAATCGTGTCGTGATCTCCTACAATTATGAATTATGATTAATAAACACACACAATATATAAAGGGTCATGGACGGCTTCTTTCATCAATTTTCCGAATTTTTTCTGTCGTGTTAAATTTTATTCACTTATATTATGCTTATTGTGTTAATTCGATATAGTCTGTATAGGTATTTACAAAATAATAATAATAATAATAATAATAATAATAAATAAATGATGAGCTTACTATATAGTGGACAATATGATCTTAATTCTTGAGAACAGTACAGTTTACAATTTTATTATACATTTTACTATTTTAGTAATAAGTATATTATGAATAACAATATAAAATAATATCGTCTTTTGTGAACAAATAATTTTACGAAATTTGAATCATAGGTGGAAATGATCCGAAACGATGGTTACGAGGTCGAAGTCCATAATGTCATCACAGCCGACGGTTACATTTTGGAGTTGCATCGTATCCCCAAGAGTAAGGGCGGAAAAGCACCCAGCAGAAACCATCCGGTGTTCATCCACCACGGCATTCTCGGGACATCGGCTGATTGGGTACTAGCTGGAGCCGCCATGTCTTTACGTGAGTGTAGTTGTCTAAATTCCTAAATATTATATAAAATTAACGAATGTTTTATTCGAAATATTCCGTATACAGCCATGCAACTCGCCGACGCCGGATACGACGTGTGGTTGGCAAACTGCCGCGGTAACACTTACAGTAGAAAACATATTTCGATGACTTACAAACAAAAAGCTTTTTGGAATTTCAGGTAAACTTAGCGTTTTAATAGATGATTTATTCGACGTTTTAAGTTTTTACTTTTTTTGATTATAACATACATATATTCGAAAAATGTATTTATTAGTTAAGTATTATTAAAAGTTTAGATGAAAACAGTAGTGGACCAAAATTTAGCGGGTTACTCCGTGTCACTTTACACCACGTTCATCTAAACTTTTAACTTTAAATACCTACAAGTTATAACTCTGTCATTATTGACTAGTCCAAAATGTGTAGGCATATATTGATATACTCCAAAAAGTATTAGGATTTGGAAATTTTAAAAAGAAATAAAAATTTTTATTTTTTTAAAAATCTCGCTTCGTAATGACTTATAATTATTTAGATAAAAGAATCACCGGGTATTTTATGACGTTACAGGGTGTATACAAAAACTTTATAATCTACACATTTATTTTTTACTCAAAACTTTCTTATCTAATATCTAGTATCTAGTAAGTATACAAACTTAATTTTTCTTTTAATGTTACCTGTACATTATCATATATGGTTACAGTTTACACGAAGTCGGGAAATACGATTTACCATCTTCTATCGATTATATTCTTTCAATGACGAACTCATCGCAACTACACTACATAGGTTATTCCATGGGCAGTTGTGTGTTTTTCATTATGGCTTCAGAGAGACCCGAATATCAGCCCAAAATCCGATCACAAATCAGTCTCGCGCCTGTCGCCTTCTTGTCGAACACCAGATCGTCTCTAAGATTTATGGCTCCGTATGCAAAAATGTTGAACGTAAGTATACATATTTACGTATAACACACTTATAAAGTTATGATAATATCGATAAATTTTTAAAATGTATAAATCTTAGTGGAAATTGGCATTATTTATTCTAAAGAGTTTTTTTTTATTCACCATAGATTCTTAAATAAATAATAGACATTTTGGCGCCGATGTTTAATAAGTTCACTGCCTTGTGTGTCATACTATGTGTTTCAAGTAAAACTTTCAATTATTGTCTTCATATTTTATACTTATACAGTTATACTTGTCAACTTCGTTTTGAGTATCATATACCTAAGGGCTAGGAATTAAGACACACAACATTTTTAAAAACTATTTATTAATATAATCTAGTATCGTATATGACACTCGAAGCATTCGTGGCAAAATCAGTGACATCAAAAGGACGTCAACTTGTTAAACTTTAGTTACTAAAAAGTAAAAATTAATAATCTTTATTAATTATGAGTAGAAATATGGGTATTTAAGAGAGGATTTCGGCATACTTTAATAATATTTGGGAGTTGAAATATATTTTTGGGAACTTGAAAGTAATTTAAATATTATAATCATATAATTATAGTTCACTTCATGGTGTTTGACTCGTTGGAGTATGGTAATGTTTTCTTTCTGGGATCCATTAACTATTGCTGATAGCTGATAATAAGTGTCCCCTGGAGAATAAGGTCCAGAGAAATGTCATCAAGTTCTCTGCTTTTGTTCTGACAATTGATTTCCCTCCTCGTGGTTACTTTTCTGTTTCTCGTTTTCTCAGAGTTCTTAAAGTATTTAACGGATAGAACCGTTGATAATCATCTTGTACAAATTTCCATCGATTCCGATATATTTTATGCTCCGGAAATCGAAGGATTATCGTACTCGTTATTGAAACGGTGCTACTATTATGGTACCTATCAATATTAGTATATATATTAATAAAATTATACGTATTGTTATATATAGGTCGTGTATCAAAGGATGTGGAAAGGAATGTTCATGCCCCAATCTAATATGCAAAAGTTTTTGGCGTCAACCATATGCAGGGAAAGAATAACGCAGAGAATGATATGCGAAAAATGCATCATATTTTCCGTTTGCGGCAGCGACCCGTATCACTTTGACACCGTAATTACGATATTTTTATGGTTTCATCAGTATATTGTATATTATATACTATTTATATAGACGAAGAGAAGATTGTCGAAAAACGATCATGAGTTAACGCAATTTGTTGTACTTATTTTTTTTTTTTGTGCATTACAGAAATTGATTCCTCTCATCATGGGACATTTTCCGGCGGGAACGTCGGCCAACCTCGCCGCGCACTTTGCACAGTTCATATTGAAAGGTATACTTGACAACAAAAATAACAACAACAACACGCGAACGTGGTGCGGATGAAATTTATTTTATAGGTTTTTAATCCGTTTCGTTTGTTTACAGACACTTTCGGTCAGTACGATTGGGGTCGCTCCATGAATATGCGTCACTACAATTCCACCGAACCGCCCACGTACGATTTGAAATCCATCCGAGTGCCCATCACGCTGATCTACGGAGAAAATGACATACTAGCCGACACGATAGTGAGCTTTGATATTATTATTTTTTTTTTTTGCAAGAGTCTTTTTCCAAGTTTCCCCCGTGGTGACATCCTATATTCGGACGCTCATTATACTTAACGTACTTAATTTTTCTTCGTCCACGCAGGACGTGATGAAACTAAAAGCCCAACTTCCCATGGTCGTGGACGCATTTCCGGCAAAAAGTCCGTACTTTAACCACGTGGACTTCTTGTGGAGCTCCAAGGTCAATGAACACGTCAACGAACCGGTCAAGGAAATACTGCAGAAGACCGACGACCTTGGCTGGACGTACACGGGCCCTGCGGCCAACGCCACCGCCGTGGACGCGGTCGTCCCCGTGGTCAGTCAGCAGCCATTTCAGGTACTGCAACTGAACCCGCTATCGGGTGCCATCCTGGCGCCCAGCCTGGAGTTCTTCGCCGAGAACCTGGACGCCATCATCGCTAGCACAATGCCGCTGCCGGTGGACGAGCGCGACGTGGCGGTGTTCGAAATGGAACGGGAACAACAGCGGCTGCTGTTCGGCGGCGTCATCAGGTTCGCACAGGCGGCCGAGAAGAAGTACGGACAGCTCCGGGAGGGGATCACCAACGAGATCTCGGGATGGGCCGACGACGTGGCCACCGGCGCCGAATCGCGCGTCAAGCAGACCGCCGTCCTGGTGAACGGCAAGATCGCGTTCGCCGGACACTCGGTGGCCGGGGCCGTGGGCAAAGCCGGACACTCGGTGGCCGGGGCCGTGGGCAAAGCCGAGCACTTCGTCGTCGGCGGCGTGGGCAAGGCCGAACAGACCGTGGTCGTCGGGATGGGCAAGGCCCAGAATTACGTCAGCTATGGTCTGAACAAGGCCGACCGGGCCGTGAACGGCGCCCTGAACGCCACTGTGGGCCGCGTCGGCAGGGTGTTGTGGTTCTGGAAGTGACGCGTCGGCTGCCGAGTCTGCCGCGCCGTCCACAAGTCTAGAAATATTATTATGTAGTAACGATATCGCCGTCGTCACGCGCTCATCTATATACTCATCTATATATACTCGGACGCTCGGCGGGATCCGGTACAGCTGCAGTTAGTGTAGTAGTTATAGACCAACCTTATATATATATTATTATCGTGATTACAATATTATTAGTTATACTATCGCTTAACTAAGCTGTACGATTGATCGTTAAAGTCATTTTTTATAAACAGTACCTACCTAAACTTTTACTCATGTGTTTGTAATTTTTTTTATGTAAATTGTTTACTCTTCGTGTAAAGTCACTTGAGACGTTATAGTATAGTGTGAGTTGTGTAATCTTTTACATTATTTTATTGTCACGAAGTCGAATTTTTACATATTTTATTTATAAATACAATTTATATTTACATTATATTTCCTGGTGTTTATCATTGTGCCTATTGTAGCAGCAGTGTATTATTTTAACCGTGTGAAATCGGTAGTAAATCAACAATATTATTCAATACGTTGTCCAGGTACTTATATTAGTTATATTTAAATTACGCAGTGCATTACACGCTGTAGGCACACTCAGTAGGTACATTTATTATCAAAGCATAATATTTTATAATATCGTTGCAGGGAAACAATATTGTTGAGGCCACAGGCTCACAGACAACTTCGCACACCTTGGCTCTTGCAGGTGAAATCCACATGTGATCCTATTCGAATCCACAACCATTTTTTCTAACGACTTGCGGAGTGCGGACTATTTAATAAAAATTAGTACAATACGTACAATAATAAACTTAATGCAGAATATTTAAAGTCCCCAATAATAATACAGGGTTATTCAAAATGATTCATCCGATTTAAAATGGCTATAAAGATCTGAAGCCATGTGATTATTTCTTTTAAGACACTGTGTACACACCACCACTGCCATCAAATCTAGATGAACATAGCAACAGCCATGGAGTCGATTACAAAAGATATGCTGCAAAAAGTATGGTATGAATTTGACTACCGACTAGATGTTATTCGTGTAACCAAAGGAGCTCACATAGAACATTTATGGATACAGTTAATTAAACTTGACATATTTTTCTTTTATTTAATGTATAACACGTTGTCCTAAGCATAAAAAATAAAATAATATAAACACTTTAAATCGGATGAATCATTTTGAATAACCCTGTACATTTTGAATCTACCTGTGTTTGTATTTTCTAATGATTGTATTAGGGCTTGTAGCAAAGTAAACGTAAAATAATGACACGATTTTGAAAAGTTTATTGGAAAAATTTTGGTTGTCGACTTCACAAACTTCACGTATACGTGCAATACGTTCTCGTTTTTTTTTACTATTAAATTTTCTTAAAACACATCGACTTTTTGATTTTGTTTATTTATTTTTATTACAATTTTCAAATGTTTTGCACATCAATCAAAATTCGTTTGTAATCATAGTCAGTTGTAAAAAAAAAAAAAAACATTGCGCACCTACCTGAATAAGGCTAAGTAACAACGTATTATGATGGTGATCGATGTTTTTGTGTCGAAGAGCTATTAACGTACTAGCGACTTGGTAGTCCGTCTTGGTTTTATATACATTCTAAAATAATTATATACAAATTGCAGCTTACATGTTGTACTATGTGAAGACGCATGCTGCAGCAGTGTTTTGGACATGTACTTTCAAAGTAAGTTTAATTACTATTTACTATTGATGAAATTATGAAGATATGTGAATATTTATCATCTGCAATATGGTTCAAATTTTAAAGTCATTAACCTACTATATATACACGAATTAAAGAACAAATATCTATAATTATATGGGAGCGCTTCGCTATTTGAATAACCTCGAGGTGTATACTCATTCAGCTAGAGTACCTAAATTCGACCCATATATTCAGGTTTGGAAGATTAATAATTTTTAAGACGAACGTGTTTCGTTCACTTTCACAACGTAACTAACGAATTTGCGTTCACTAAATTTCAAAAAAAAAATCGTCGACGAGGTCAGTTATGGGCGGTAACATTCACTTATTTAAAGGCATCAGAAGTGATAACAGTTAACATTTTTCTCACGTAGCATATCGTTTGGATAATATATATTATTATAATACGAAGATCTCGCGGGTTTTTCAGATTTAGAATAAGAGTATTATATCGGTTTAAGAAATCATGTTTGTAATTTATTTGTCAGTAGTACAACATCAAGCAGGGGGGGGTGTATATAGGATTTTCTTGAGGAGGGGGATATCAAAATTTGTTTAGTGCTGTTGCAACTTCTTGTTAGTTATTCCATGTAAGGTATATAATAATAATAAATGTTGTGTAATGTCACTCACGTGCCCACAGGATAACAAAATTATAAATAACAACAGTACTGCAGCAGTTTGTACTTTATACATGGAAAAAAATGGGTAAGGGAGGGGATCTATCCCCCATATCCCCCCCCATAAATACGTCACTGAGTCATCAAGTCTAGAACAAACTGTGTATATATTATGTACTCAACTTTTTAGTTCATTTTGCGTTTTATTTCGCTCATTGTATAACACTTTAATTTCGCACAGAGTAATAAAATCTATGATATACTGTACCTATTATAGTATGGTCGAGTATACATCGAAAATCTACTTTGAAATGTATTTTGTAGCCACGGCATTACGATACTTTTTTGTAAAAAAAATTGCTTAAGTTATTTTAAATATGACATAATAATATAATATATTGTTTTTAGATTCTCAGCGGAGCTATGAACTTATTGATTTTACAATAATATGAGTTTTTTTGTGCACGTGTACACTATTTAGGCTGTAGAAATAAATGATCTGAATTTAAATTTGAATATATTTTCCGGAAGGAAATTGAATCTATTTGGTACATGTAGGATGTACAAAATTAAAAATTTCCCATGGGTACTTTTCATAATAATCGGGAAAAACAAAACAAAAACTAGGAAACAACGGGAATTTTTACAAACAGTGTATATATTATGTACTAAACTTTTTCGTTCATTTTTCTTTTTATTTAGTTCATTGTATAACACTTTAATTTCACAGAGTAATAAAATCTATGATATACTGTACCTATTATACCTATAGTATGGTCACGTATATATCGAAAATCTACTTTGAAATGTATTTTGTAGCCACGGAATTACGATACTTTTTTATAAAAAAATTGCTAAAGTTATTTTAAATATGACATAATAATATATTATATTGTTTTTAGATTCTCAGCAGAGCGATGAACTTATTGATTTTTCAATGATGTGAGTTTTTTTGTGCACGTGTACACTATTTAGGCTGTAGAAATAAATGCTCTGAATTTAAATTTGAATATATTTTCCGGAAGGAAATTGAATCTATTTGGTACATGTAGGATGTACAAAATTAAAAATTTCCCATAGGTACTTTTCATAATAATCGGGAAAAACAAAACAAAAACTAGGAAACAACGGGAAATTTTACAAAACTCTGGTTTTTGAAAAAATCGATTTTCTTATTTTGTTGTAATTCAAAAATAAATAACCGTCGGTACTTGAGTACAGTTAAATAAATTACAGTGGCACTTGACACGTCCTACTGTAATCGGTAACCTACTGCCCCTCCCCTTCTTTTTAAACAATCTTTTATTTTAATTTGTTTTCATAAACGCTTAAAGGTTTAAAAATATTTCGCCCTATTTACACGTAGGTAGTAAATCTAACTGCAGAGCGACGGACCGCTGCTTTTAAATTAAAATAATTAAAATACAAATATACCATCGCGGCTTGTGTCGGTATATAGTAAAACGACCGAGTGCAGAGGAGGTGGTACTAAAATATTATTATTGTTATCCTTATACATCGGATCTACACTTTCACCTTGAACATGACGACGATTTGAATTTCTTTTAAATCGGTTTGAAAGTTTTTATTTCGCACAAATCCGTATCGACTTCTCGACGTCGCCGTAGAAACCGGCGACCATTGATATGGTTAATTAAACCGTGACAACACCGTTGTACGTCGTCAATCCTCGTCAACTGTTTTGTAATTTAAATCAATAACATTACAAACGTAAACGGGCGAAAACAACGTTCGTATTTCGAGTGGGCTGTAGATTTTTTTTTTTTTAGTAGAAATTTCACATTTTTTCATATATTCGATATTATAATATTATATTGTATTTTTTTATTGATGCGTGTAAATAATCTTCAGGTTTGGTAGTTGATGGTGGGGGGGGGGTGGACGTACGGCTATTAGAGCCAGTCACCCCCCAACTATGATAACGTTTGCGATTTACATGTTGCAAATATTTATAGATAATAATATTATAATGAACGCGACGAGTTCGGTGAGTATTACACAGACATGTTAATATTTATATGTCTATGGAGTATTGTTTGAACATCACACACAATCACACACACGCGTGACTCATATCGTGCGGTCGTAGTGTGCAAATATAATATTATATTCATCTCGTCAATATCGTGATAATGTTATTATTTCCGTCTGTTCATAACAGTGTTTGGTTTAGAAAATTAGATTACCGCGGTAATGTAGTCACTGCGCAATATAATATTCTAATTAATGAAGCGTGCGCGGCAGTAGCAAACAAATATAGATAGGTCGTGTGCAAATATTGTACTCTATATTGTACTCGTCGCTTCGATATCACGATAATGACGTTGTTATCAGCTCCGTCCAACAGTTTGGTTTAGAAAATTAGATTACCGCGGTAATGCGCAATTTAATATTCTAATTAATGCTGCCGCCCACGTACCTACACAACTGCAAACTAGCAGACACGTGGTTATAAGCCGCGTACGTACATAGGTAATAATACGACGATATGCAGCAGCACAGTCGATAATATTATTTCCCTGTCTATAAAATAATGAGAGGTACCTATATAGGTCGTGTGCAAATGGTATCATCAGTGGAGTCCGCGAGGGGGGGGGGGGCTAACGGGCTGAAGCCCCCCTCCATTGCCCGTATTATTATTACTTAAAAAAAAAATATTTATCAAGTTTCAAAGTTTCAATTGTCAACTATTAGTAAGCAAGACGTAAATTGCATATACCTACGTCTTACCTGAATTAATTCATTTTTGAAAAAACATACCAATTTTCATAAATTATCTGTAATTTTTCGGTAAAAGTATGAAGTAGGTATAGTAGGTACTCGTATAAAAGACCTTGTATTAAATTGTCACAAATACACATTTAATATTTTATAAGTTTTGAACTAAAAATTAACTGTGGTTTTGACGAAATTTTAACTTTAAATGCTTATAAAAAATAACCATGATGCCTGTGCATCGTTAATATTTTAGCTATAAGAAAAAAACTTACGTATTCAATTTTTAAGCTTTTTGACAGGATAAATAATTTTTTTATTGACATTTATAGAAAAAAATTTTTTAAATTAATCAAATACAATCCAAGTGAGGATGGTATGACCAAGCTGGTTACCAAACAATTTTAAAAAATTTTCATTTCTTTCTATAATTATTTTAAAAAACACTGAGCATTTTCAATTTCGACCTCCTAAAAGTACCAACTAGATCCAATTTGCAGCTTCCAAAAACATACATCGGGTATCGAAGCTTAGATCAGAGCATTTTTTCTACCAGAAAAGTTGAAAAGTTACAAACATTTTAAAATACCTCAAATAAACGTCTGAAATCATTAGACTGGACAAAATAAAAATTACTAATTTTCAAGCTAATTTTCTATTGAAAAATCCTGCTCACGCCACTGGATATCATCTATGTTATACTCATCGGGTGAACAATATAATGATAATGACGTTAATATTTTCGTCTGTTCATAACGGTTTGGTTTAGAAAATTAGATTACCGGGGTAATAATGCGCAATATATTCTAATTCAGCGTTTCTTAGGCTTAAGGGTTCCGCGAAACACTCATAAAAATTTAAGTCCTGTTTGTCTGTTATTTAAAATATTTTTTGAATATTGAATACAGTATACCACATTATTATTATAATTTTTATCGACAATAATCCTTACATAAAATTACGCTAAAATGACTACTGAAACAAAGTAAGGGTTCCAATTGTCGAAAGCTAAATAAAAAAAATCTAAAAGAGCTAGGGACTTCTGCACGATAAAAGTGGACTTAAAAAAGGGTTCCACGGATAAAAAAGTTTAAGAAACAATCATAGGCGTGTCTACGGTTCTTGCCTGTCATGCACAGGCATGACCTGCGAAATTTGATCTAACTTACATTATAAATTGAGGTACATAATAATATACACTTCTTTTCTTAGATTCTGATTTCATATTAAATTTTTTGATTTTCATCATGTGGACTTTTAATATCTATTACAATTTATTATTGATAATGCTTCCCTTGTGGAACCACTTCTAAAACACTTCATCAATAGATTGATTTTCTAAATTCAAATAATAGAACTTGTATTTTTCTTCACTTCTATAAAGAGTACTTTTTACCACTATTCCGGTAACAACTTGTTCATGCGAACGTGCATTTTCTAAGCTGATAATTGTAAAAACAAAACTCCGCAGCACTATGACTCAAGAAAGACTTGACTCTTTAATGTTTCTATTCATAGAACAACAGATGACAACAAATATTAATTACGACGAAGTTATCGAGGAATTTAAAGTGATGATACCAACAAAACGACGTTTAGAATTATAATATATATTAAGTAGGTATTAGGACCATTTGTGATTATAAAAATATTTGTAAAAAGTATTAGGTACACATTAATTATATTTTAAAATACAATTTTATATTGCCTTGTTATTTTATTTATCTAATAAAAGGAATATTGTTTTTTATTCTGAAGTATTAGATAATAATTAATAATGATAAAGCTTATTAAGAAATTTGGAGGTCATATCCTTAAACCGAAACCAAATTTTTTTTAGGGGGTGGGGGTGCAGAAACCTACTTCCCCTGAATATGCCACTACTGTGCATGACCTGCGAACAAGGTCTGGACACGCCTATGGAAACAATTCTAATTAATGCTGCCGCCCACGCATCTACACAACTGCAGCGTACACGGCAGACTAGCAGACGAATGTAGGTAGGTCGTGTGCAAATGGTATCATCTATATTATACTCATCGCGTCAATGTCATGACAATGACGTTATTATTTCCAGTTTGGTTTAGGCGATTAGATTACCGCGGTAATGCTCGATATATAACAGTATAACATTCTAATTAATGCCGCCGCACACGTACCTACACAACTGCAGTCTGCAGCGTACACGGCAGACTAGCAAGTAGCAGACACGTGGTCATCGTTGTAACCGCGCCCGTACCTACACGACGATGCGCAGCAGCACAGTCGACGATATTATTGCACCGTCCATGTAGGTAGGTCGGGATCGCGCCGCGACTGTGGCGCTACCTACCGCGACGAAACGCGATAGTGATAAATGATAATAAATGATAATATTATATTACGACTATATTTACGAGAGTGACTATATTATTATTATTATAATTATCGCGGAACTCTCTCGCGCGATCGTCGCCAAAATATCATCTCTCGTCCGACGTCGTCGAGTGTGCAATAAACATTATTGTTTGTTATACACCGCGATTCGAATGGCATCGTGCCCAGACGACTGAATTATATTATACGCAAATGTGTCTTGTACAACGATATTATTATTATCGAGCTGTGGGCACATCGCGACCGTCGCCGTCAGGGTTCAGTCGTCGCGTGTACGATCGGCGGTGCAGTTCCTAATAAATAAATAATATTAAATTCGCCATACGTGGTTGTCGGATTTCTTCGCCCTTTTTCCAGACGCACACTCGAATATATTAATATTATCATGTGTGCACCAATATATGTTTGATTCCGGCTGCGCGATTTTTCTATTCTCAAGCATGTCCGAAAATGTTTGCTCGTCCACTGTGAGTACCTACCTAACATATAATTAATATAATATTATTATTATTGTTATTATTACGCTATATGTACTGCACATTATTGCACACGTCGTATTCTCGTTCGATAAATTATTATCATTAAACATTTGTCACACCATTATTGTACTCGAGCGACGAAAAGTTCAATGCATGTTTCAGTCATCGGACGACGAACCCGCTTAAAATGTACTTCGATTTATATCATGATTTTTATACAATAAAACTGACTCATGGACGAAAAGAAATAGAAACTGAACATCGGACAATCAACTTTCGATTTCGTATCAGTGTGATGATTTAATATCTTCAAATTGTATAACAACCATTTCTACGCACAGATAACGTCATAAAATACTATTATTATAATATTATTATGGTCCACAATGTCAATTGATTGCATAATTCATCTACCAAAAATAGTTTTCTTTTATACACCATTGTTAATGGTTTATTGTTTATTATGCCAAAAAATTCTCAGGTAGGTGGTACACAGACGCCTATGTCTTAAAAAATTGCCGTGTAATGACTAAAGATATAATAGATTTGACATTCACAATATATAATGTAATATTATATCGATACATTTAGCATGCTACATTGTAATAATCATGGTTTTGAAGAAATTTAAATTTTTTACTGAAAGACAGTGAAAGTACTCAAATCAACAGCAAATCGGATAACCGAGTCATTTCGGTGTCTGCTGAACTTCAATATTCTATCAATATTTTATTGTTATATAATAGTAATAACTAATAAGTAGGCAGACTGTAGACTGTAGAGCAGAGGTTGGAGATACCTTTTTTTACCAAAATTGAGATACGCTTTGGAATTGTGGGCCAACATTTTTAGAGGAATAGATTGGTTAAGAAATTGAAGAACAGATCAGATTTATTTAGAAAAAATTAATATTTGTTTATATACTTTTTTACTTATAATAACAAGTTTTTCTGTTAATAGTTAGTGTCAGTAATTAGGTAGTATAGGTTAGTATAATATAGGTTTAAATTACTATTATAAGCTGTTACGAATAACACCAAAAGAAAAAAACTATTAAATAAATTGTATTTAATTTATTCAATAAATTAAAAACAATGAAAACTAAATGAAAATATTAAATAATCAAACATTAACAGATTAACTAGCTTGGAGGGCCAGTGAGAAACCCTTGACTGGCCGTAGGTTGGAGACCCCTGATGTAGACCATTATAGCCTCTATAGAGTTTAGGTATACTTGATATCTAATCGTAGGTAGTTCAAGTGGTTACGATTCGCACGTGAGACACATCGAAAAGATAATTATTTTAAAAATATTTTGTGATGATAATAAACTGGAATCGTTCCGTCAAAAAAAGAATGTATAAAATAAAACATAATATTATGATTGGGTTCAAAATGATAAGACATCGTACAACATTTAATAATACAACAATAATAATATTATATCGTAAAATAATAAATTTTTTAGTTTGGATAGATATGAGTTACATGATTAAATGAATCGTGATTATACGTCAAGTAAAATAAAATTCATATATTACATATTATATTATATTATGCTATTAATTATTATATATAATATATGTATATATATATATAATGTATCTGTTATAAATCTAATATATTTTCATAAAACTATCTGAGGTTACATAAATTAACCTTAGAATGCGAGATTAAGTTTTTATTTATCTAGAACAATATTTTTCATACGATTAATGGATCAGGAATTTAGAAAAATATTAAATAAATTCTCAAACTATTTTTTTACTATTTAATTTCAATGAAAAATACTTTACCTTTTGAAGCAACATTACGCATGTACCTACGTCAATAGAAATATAAAAATAATATAATTTTTTTAATACAACATTTATTTTAGTAAAACATCAATACACTTTCATTTATTGTTTCGTTTAAAAATAATATGTACACACAAATATATAATATAACATACATAATTGGTAGTAAAAAATACCACCCGGGTCCCGGAGTCATATATAATATATAAATATACAATCACTATTACCTATATTGTGTACTCTGTACTCATTACTCAACCGACCGTATATCTTAAAGACCTAACATTTTATTCCTGGCTTAACTATTTCCACTTCCGTATTCCTATATATGACAGTAAGAAAATGGTTATCGTATTCTAAATAATTGTTTAAAAAACATAAATTCATTTTTTTAAGGATTATTTATTGTACAGGCGTACAACTACCAGGTTAAACGAAATACTAACTATGATTTTCAATACTTGAACTAATTAATAAATTATGATTATTTTACTGTATTTTTCAATCTGGAAATAATTATTAAAAACTCATGAAATATTACAAATTACGTCTTATTACTGTATAGATTGGTATTTTTGAGTGCACCTGCGTCCTACGTATATGTTGTAGGTATTTGCAATTTCAATTATATACCTATACAATGTATTCAATATATGTATTATACACTATACAGTATAGACCGAGGTATAGACACATACATTTGAACGATTTTAAGTCCTATGACGCCCCAGCCCCGGTAGTAAAATTGTACTTTATAATAAGATATATACATAGGTAATAATAGGTATATAATATGTATTTAAATGTTTTCAATGATTCTCTACAATTCGGATTAGGTTGAAATCGTCAAAAACAATGGATATGCTGTTGAAGTACACAATGTCGTCACGGAGGACGGTTACATCCTGGAGTTACATCGCATCTCGGAAAACAAGAACGGACATGGACCCACCAGGAACCATCCTGTGTTCGTACACCACGGCATTCTGGGGAGTTCGGCCGATTGGGTACTTGGCGGAGCTGATATATCGTTACGTGAGTATAAACCATCGATTTCAATAAAAAAAATCACTCGATCGAAATTTTTATTATTTTCAAGTTTGTTCGCTGTGTCTAGGTTAGGTTAGGTTAGGTGTCTAGGTACCTCTACCTATAGTTGTTAATATCGTGCTTTGTACGTCTTGTACCTATATAGTATATAATTATACATTATAAAAATATTATATTATAGCGATGCAACTATCCGATGCCGGGTACGACGTGTGGTTGGCCAACTGCCGGGGTAATACCTACAGTAGAAAGCACTCGACGATGACTTCCAAGCAAAGAGATTTTTGGAATTTTAGGTAAAACTTATAATATTATTTGTATTTTTGTTCATGATGGTTGTACGCAGATACGTTGTGCTTGTACAATCATGTTCAGAGACGTATTTAGGGGGCAGGGGGGGCTAGGCTCCGGGTGGTAAATTTTGAATTTTGGAGAGCATTAAGATATAATACGGTACCTAGACCGTATGGGTGATAAAAAAAAAAGTAATGATACTAATATGATACGATAACCTACGATATGTGTTTAGCTGATGCTGAAAACCGAAATATTGAGATACATACAGAATAGATGAAAGCAGAATGTAAACTGATAAGATATTTGGATTCAGTGGCTTATCCAGGAGGGGGTTAGGGCCTCAACGTTATCATTAATATATCATTTTCAGATAAAATTCGACAAAAATAAATTATAATCCCTTCCGAAAAAATTCTGGATACGCTACTGTTTGTATTAATAATTTTACATGGGCTCTTATGGCCAAAAATATGGGAAGGGGGCTTTTTTTTCTTACATGGGGCGCAAAATTCCTAAATACGTCTCTGATCATGTGATTGTTTGTGTATACTGATTATGCATTCTAACGTCAGTAGCATAAATTATCATACCAACGTCTTTACATTTTGACAATAATAATTAATATAATATACGTACCTACCTATGTAATAATATAATATACCATAATGACGGTTGTAAAGTTTACACGAAGTCGGAACTTTCGATTTGCCAGCTTCGTTCGACTACATTCTCATGAATACCAATGCCTCGCAACTCCACTACGTAGGCTATTCAATGGGCACCTCCGTGTTTTTCATAATGGCTTCTGAAAGACCCGAATACCATCACAAGATTAGGTCGCAAATCAGTCTCGCACCGGTAGCCTACTTGTTCAACACAAGATCGTCTGTAAGACATATCGCTCCGTACGCGGAGAAGATGAACGTACGTATAATGCAAAATCAATATAGTAATAGTTTATATCAACCTAAAAACATGAATGGCTATAAAAAAAATATATTGCTTTTAGATTCTCATTATCGCTCGTATATTATGTTTATCTGTTGACAAAATCGTCAATGCTCATAGACGTTATCAACATTGTTGTATTGTATATAGAAACTTTGAAATGGGTGGGGCTGAGGAAATGTATATGTAACTTTGAGTCTTAGCCAAATAACCATTTAATATAATATACAGAGTGATTCAACATACATGCTTTCCCCTTTATTTCTTTAATAATGCAGTTATTCAAAATCTGATATTTGGGATCTTCAAATAGAGCCTTGTAACATTAACTTTTTCATTTGAAAAACAGAAGGTTGGGTCACCACGGGACACTCCTTAAGTAATAAAAAAAGTTCAACAATTTCAAAAAATGGTCTTCGAGTATATTTAAAAATTCCAAAATCAGAATTTCATTATTAAAAGAAATGGGGGAAGGATGTTGGGTGATTTACTCTGTATACAAATGAAACTCATGCAAGGTTCAAGGTTGTTACTTCAGCTGGTAAACACTTATATTTTAAAAATGTTATGGTTTAAAAAAAAAAAAAAAATTCAAGGTCAGGATATAATATACCTACGTATATAGTTCAATATCAATTTCTACGTAGGAAAAAATCTTACACTGTATTTCTACCATTGCAATGGGTCGTTGGGTGGACACTAAAAAATAATCGACAGGTTTATTAATTTTAATCTTAGTTATTAAAATGTTGTGTATATACCTACGAGTATTATTTAATTTTAAGTTTACATTTATATATTAGTTATAAAATTAAAATATCGAAAAACATTGATTGCGATCCGATAGTCATATTCAAATTTAAATAACAAATTAATTGATATATATAGATATACAATCTTAATATATCCTGATAAACAACTTGCTGATTTTTCATTTCAACTTTTTTAAATATTAGAGACGTTATTATAATGTTGAAACTCAAATTAAACAAAATATATTTTTTTTAAATCATATTATAATATATAATAGTGATAATAGTAGTATAATACGATAATAATTATTAGAACCAGAAAATATATTAATCTTCTTAAAAAACTAGGTAAATACTTAAATGTAATTGTTTTTTGTTTAGATTATGTATCAATGGGTTTCCAATGGAATGTTTTTGCCTCAATCGAGGATGCAATCATTTTTGGTAACCAACACGTATGGAGAAAAAATTGCACGGACTTTGTTTTGCCAAAAATGCATATCTTATGTAGTGTCTTCCGTGTGTGGTAGTGAAACGTATATATTCGACAATGTAATAATTATATTTTATGAATTCGTTAGCGATATTACACGAGGAAAAGCTATCATTGAAATGGTTATTGATTTATGATATATTTTGTTTTGTCGTCATGACGTGTTATATATAGACATTAATACCACTCGTCATTGAACACTTTCCGGCGGGAACGTCGTCTAAACTAACCACACATTTTTCACAGCTTATATTGAAAGGTAATTAATTACGAAACAGTTATCTACTATTAGGTACATTGTAACATTATGTTTTATATAACGTTTTTGTCATTTTATTCTCGTGCTTTGAAATTCACTGTGCAGACAGTTTTAGTCGATACGATTATGGGCCAATCATGAATTTACAACATTACAATTCTACCGAACCTCCAACATACGACTTGGGATCCATACAAGTTCCAATTGCGTTGGTATACGGAAAAAACGACGTATTGACGGACGTGGAGGTGAGGTTTTTCCGAAAATTCTTCTAAAATGTTCGCCTGTAGTTATATTAATTGGGAGGATTTGGGGTAGGTTGTTGTAAATTAGGACCAATTAAGAACAATATTCATATACATATAAGATCAATTTATATCATTATGTTCATTATATCTCAATAACACGAGAATTCCTGAATTAGTAAGTATATATAATTTGTGATCCACCAACTATATGTGTTTGTATTACCTACATAATTTATCCGAACTCCGAAAATTTTCAAATTATTCTTCAGTTAGAAATCAATAAAAGTTTTTAATTTTATAGCTAATATTACAAATATTATTAGAAAATTCCAAACAAGTTTTGCGCCTTTGTAAAAAAAAAAAGTTACGACAGTACAACTCGAACACCCGGATATTATCCTTAATTTTTTATTTGATTTAAACATTTTTACGATATTTGATACATTCAGCGGTTTTTTGTACGCTAGTATATGACACACCATCTCCACTCAGAATCGTTTTTCGTGTGCAATGATTTATCATTGAATTCAAATATAACTCATCCATTACGCAATGACATACTCGATGACAACTACCGTACATCATTGCGGTACCCACTTGTCCACCTTTTTTTTTTATTCAATGACTACCTAGTACAGTGGCGTGGCGTGGGTATTAAAAAGATGTAAGCAGTGAAGTTATTTTTCAAAAGTGATTAGAATATAGGTACTATACCTAAATACCTAATTATAAATTATGTATAAAAGAATGTTATCCTTTTAAAATTTTTAATATTTTTAAAAATATAGGTACTAGTTGTACAAATCAAATTCGAGAAAATAAAGAAATTGAAGTATAAATACTTCAAAAGTCTATTAGGTGAATGACAGTGACAGTGTACGTAAAAACGACTACAGTCTAGAACGCGTCGGGCTACGTACTGGTCGCTCCGGCTCCTTGTTTCTCGCGTAAGCAAAATCAAATGTGCTTACAAACGCTAGTTAAATACGTGACCCCCACTATGGCATTATAGACTATTCGAAAACAACAGTTGCGCGTAAGCAATTTCAGAATGTGTTACACTGTATATCGTATTATGATTACGCAGTTAACATAATACAGAATGGATTAAAAATAGACCTACAATCGATGATTTTCTTAAAATAGTTGGTAATCAGTAGACAGCGTACGACACAAATAAACAATAACAAAAACCACCACCAGCTATAACTTAAATATTTTATAAATAAAATTAAAATTTTAAAAATCATTTATTATGTACCTATTAGTCGTGATTAATCAAATTTATTTTTTCTTTCATTTAAAGTGTAAGCAGTGCTTACAGTGCTTACATGCACGCTACGCCCCTGACCTAGTACCTGCCTTTATCGTGTTATTCTTGCGTGCAGGACGTGATGAGACTGAAATCACAACTTCCGAAACTGATGGACTTCGTTCCGGTGGACAGCCCTCGTTGCAATCACGTGGACTTTTTGTGGAGTCTAGACGTGACCAAACAAGTAAACGCGAAGGTGGCGGAAATACTGCAGAAGACCGACCACGCGGACTGGGAGTATACAGGTCCTCCCTCGGGCTCCTGTACAGATACCGACGGAACGGGTGGTAACGACGGTCAAACGACCGAAGAACGACAGCCAAACTCGACGGGTGATCATCACGTATACGTAAACTTTGCCCCGGGCCCGGATTGCTCGGCGATGAACTCATCGGGTGCAGCTCCGGTGCAACGGGACGACGACAAGTCGGCGGAGATCGTACGAGGTCTGAACCTGCTACAAAAGGTGCAGCTGTTAGACAACTTGATCGTGCTGTTGAAGTCCACCGAGACGAAGTACCACCAACTTCGGGAAGGTTTCACCCGCGAGTTTTCCGAATGGACTCGCGGCGCCCGAAACGAGAACGGTACTCGTCATGGCGCCGGAATTGACGTTGTGGCGGCGAACGGGGCGGAAGACACCGTGGTCGTGGTAAATACCGAACAAGACACCGTGGTCGGGGTAACGACCGAACAAGACACCATAGTCGGGGTAAAGACCGAACAAACCACCGCGACGTGGCGCCGCACAGGTATCGGAAAAGTCGGTGACTTTGTTGATTATTATGGCGGTCTAAACCGCATGGACGACCGGACGGCGGCAAGACGCGCGCTTTACACCACGTTCAGTAGTCTCGGAAGAGCGATCAGGTTCTTGAAGTTGCGTTATAAATAGACGGGAGAAGGGACCCCTCTTACAAAAATTGATGTGTTCCAGCTTATGTGATTTTATTAAAAATTATATGTATTGTAAAATGTGCACCCTAAAATGCGTAAATGCGTTATACATAATATAGAGGTGGGCTCATATATATAAGCCTTAGCATTATTTGTTTGCTATATTATGTACTTACAACCAAAGATTTTGTTTATTTAATAGGTAATAGGACTATGCCTAGCCTCAAGTATGACATAGCGTCTATTATATATTTATATTGTATACCGGTTATTATGATCTGTAAGAAGATTATATTTTGTTGATAATAAAATTGTTTTATGATTTAATATTGTTATTGTAATATGTAATGTCTCGTATTTATATATTAAATAATACTGATATCCATTTGACATGTATTCAAATTCTGGGGTCACCTGGAATAGCGTAGGAACAGACAGTCCAAAGATCAGTGCTCCAGGTGGTTGTGATAGTTATGAAGATGGGAATATAGCCGTTTGTAAAATTGTTTGGGTAATGTTTTTTCTGCCACGTGTGGGGCTGAGTGAGAAAACAAATAATAACGCTGTTTGACATACCTACTCTTAAAATTATGTTCAGTACAGAGTTTAACGGGTTTTTGAAGGTGGTATGACAGATTTTTACCTAAATGTGAGCTCCTATTATAATATTATTTATGAATATCAAAAATAATCATGTTTTATTATTATCTTATATAGTTTACATGTATGTAATAGGTATTAATAAATATTCTATAATTCATATTTTATAGGTATATAATATTATAACACATTTTTACAAAAAAAAAGAGGATAACTTCAACAATTTAAATTAATCCACCTTGGATCCAGTCACTTGTGTACTCAGTATACACAATACACAAACTACAGTCACACATCGCTCATGATGTGTATATGAATATTGCCTAAATCCGTTGCCTTAAAAAAGGATCACTTTCAAGTTTCAACAGCATAGATAATACAATATACTGGACAGAGTTACGATCACGAATTAAGATATTATGCTTAAACTGCTTAAATTATATCTGAATTCGTGGTTAGTGGTTACAATTGAAAATCTTGAAGCAAAGCAACTTTACTGGGCCCCGGTGTCACCACTGTGCATGCACAAAACATACAGTGCTTGTGGTAATAATATATAAGTATATAATCGTAATTATTCTACTACTACACCAGTAAATAGTTATAAAAATTATATAACTATAGTAATTACAAATATATTTATACTCCCCAATCTAATATTGCAATGAATACGTTAGGATTTGATCAGTTGAGTTTTTTATTATTGTACTTCCCTAAAAGATGTATGTTTATTTTCCGTTTATATATTTTTATTATGATAAATCTATTTGTATTATATTTTACAAAATTAAGTCAATCGCATTCAAAATAAATTTAATTGATACAACTTTTTATTTGAATAGGACATAGGTATAATATAACAAACCTATAGGCCTCCTCCTAATCTTCTATATTTATAAAGTTACTTGTCCAGAGTATGAAATTTGAACAGTAGTTTTGTTTTGTGATGTAGACACCCACTAAGAAAGGATTTTTCAAAATTTAACCCCTATTCAGGGGTTAAAAGTGGTAAAAATGAAAAAAATCACCTAGCCGGAACCACTGAAGCTATGAGTAGGAAATGTAATCAGTAGTTTCATTTTATGATGCAAAAATCTCATAAGAAATGATTTTCAAAATTTAACCCTACAGAGGTTAAAAGGGGTAAGCATGGAAAAAAATTGATAGACTGATTCATTTGCCTTATCACCAACTTCACGGTGTCTGCAATCTAACGCAAGTAGATAGTTTACCTGATAATATACTGTTCGTTTGGTTAACCATAAGCGAGACTCACGGTCAACTCCACGTGAGATTGCTAAAAATTAAAATATAATATGATTTTGCTTCGATATACACAGCGGCCACAGCGAATTACACCTAAAAGGAGTTGATTATTCAAAATTTTTTTCCGGGCAACGCTGGGTTATTCAGCTAGTTTTATATAAATAGTCAAAAAGGTATTACCAGTAACTACATAAATTGTATTATAATGTGGATTTGCATTTGAGGAAGTAGGTACCTACTCAGTATGAAAACCATTGAGCCAATTTTATATTGTTTTCTCCCGATTTAATACTTTATTTTATTTTAAGCAATTTATCAACATACATGTCATACATACTATTATAGTTTAATTTTTCCACCATTATCTTTTTAATGTTTTGATGTAATGATTTTAATGTTTTAAATCCACATTACTGATCGCAGCTTGACATGTTTGGTTCATAGCATCTAAATACAAATTATTAAACCAAATCAGTAGGTAACCAATTCAAAAAGGTTTTACATTGATAAAGGATGAGACATGAGGATGAGACATTTATTATATACTTATAGTATACAATATGAAATAAAAATTATCTTGTCCCACCCAAAATAAAATAAAATTATATAGCATAAATACACATGTATATCTGAAAAATTAAGACATTTAAATGTTTATTTCATGTACTTGGTTACAGACATACCATTTAAACAGTCTTGTAAGGAATACTTTTATTTTGTATTCGGAATACATATTCGAATAAATGAGAATTAAGGTATTCAGAATACGTATTCGAATAGTTCTTAAAAAATATATTCAGAATACATATTCGAATACTTTAAAAAGTATTCGAATACTATTAGAATACTTTTTTTCACAAATAATTGTTGTCAGTTTTTGAATGGTTGGTAATTACTAATTAACATTTATTAATTAATAATTAAAATTACTTTGTAATCATAAGCTATTTATAAATTTTGACCACATATGATACGGCCGATACGAACTATACGTGATAAAACACATTGGTATTTATAAAAATAATCATATCATGGGCCAAAATTATATTTCTTTCAAAGAATAAAATTAATGTTCATGATTTATAATATATGTCTTGTCACAAATTTAAAACTATTTTACTGGATCGGAAAAAGTATTTTTTTAATGAATAAAAAATACAAATAAAAATATTCAGAATACGTATTCGAATACTTAAAAAAAAAGTATTTAGAATAGTATTCGAATACAAAAAGAGTATTCAAATACTTTTATTCGAATACATTTATTCGAATACTTTACAAGACTGCATTTAAATATATTAACAAGACTTAATTTTTTTTAATATAAGAACAGAAATAACAGTATAGTTTAAAAAAATAAAAATAAGAATACAATGGGACGACTATGCTCCCTCTGTATTTATAATAGAATTACCAAAATTCCACAACGCATAGGGAAGAACTTTATCTGTGTCTTAGTGTTTTTATTATTTGTATAACATAAATACAATTAAAGTTTTTAGTTTTTTTTGGTTTTTTGTTGTTTAATTATTACAAATTATTGATAAGTGCTATCAAAAAACCAAAAACGCTACGAGACAGATAGAGTTCTTCCTCATGGGTTGTGAAATTTTGATAATTCTGTTATAAGTACAGGGGGAGCATAGTTGTCTCGGGCTATTGCTAAATAGTTTTTGCTATGTTGTGCATTTGTAAGACGGAGACAATGCATGCGGGTGTACCGTCCTCTTAAATCATGATTATACTTTTTTTCACGAGATAAAATGCTGGTTCTGTGGTCGTAGAATGAGCTCTGTTCACCGACTATGCCGTCGTATCCACCCTCCATACAGCCAAATTGATCCCAGATCGCAGTGCAAAAGACAATTGTAATCAGCTGCCATCAACGCTAAGCGGCCAAAATATGATCACGCGTCACCTATTGAGAATTTAGAGACAGATGTGCAGAGCTGACCCATTCTAGTTATTGCATGGCATGTTCTCTCGTGAGAGATAACAAAGTATAAAAACTATTTTTCTTAAGTATATAATTATTATCAATAAATTTAATAATATCATGTCTATATTACACTATTATAACATTGAAATTGTGAAGGTTTTAACTTAACTATATATAATTATGAGTAGTATTACAATTTATTTAGGTACTGTTTTAATTTCTAGGTTTAAAATTATTTTCTTAGGTTTTGTTATTGGAATTGTAATCAGTAAAAACTTCACAACCCAGAGGGCAGTGGGTAAGGGTTCTATCTAAATTAAATCAATATAATATTATATACAATTTAATTGATTTGAGCAGTACATTAGGTAATATACTGTTAATAAAAATACACATTATAAATAACAAATTATATAAACATGATAGTGTGATTTCATTTCTTAACAAAGCTCAGATAATACAAAAATAAATAATAATTAAAATATATAAAAACTGTTACAGTTAGTACTTGAGTATATAAGTATCTTAATATAATAAACAGGGTTCCTATCTTATAGCAATAATTGAATACCAGTGGCGTGGCGTGGGTATTAAAAAGATGTAAGCAGTGAAGTTATTTTTCAAAAGTGATTAGAATATAGGTACTATACCTAAATACCTAATTATAAATTATGTATAAAAGAATGTTATCCTTTTAAAATTTTTAATATTTTTAAAAATATAGGTACTAGTTGTACAAATCAAATTCGAGAAAATAAAGAAATTGAAGTATAAATACTTCAAAAGTCTATTAGGTGAATGACAGTGACAGTGTACGTAAAAACGACTACAGTCTAGAACGCGTCGGGCTACGTACTGGTCGCTCCGGCTCCTTGTTTCTCGCGTAAGCAAAATCAAATGTGCTTACAAACGCTAGTTAAATACGTGACCCCCACTATGGCATTATAGACTATTCGAAAACAACAGTTGCGCGTAAGCAATTTCAGAATGTGTTACACTGTATATCGTATTATGATTACGCAGTTAACATAATACAGAATGGATTAAAAATAGACCTACAATCGATGATTTTCTTAAAATAGTTGGTAATCAGTAGACAGCGTACGACACAAATAAACAATAACAAAAACCACCACCAGCTATAACTTAAATATTTTATAAATAAAATTAAAATTTTAAAAATCATTTATTATGTACCTATTAGTCGTGATTAATCAAATTTATTTTTTCTTTCATTTAAAGTGTAAGCAGTGCTTACAGTGCTTACATGCACGCTACGCCCCTGTTGAATACCTTTCTTATTTAATGTAAAATATAGCAGTGTGAAAAATAAATCAATTATATTATGGGGTCATAAATCATAATATCAAATCTGACATTGTACCGAAAAAAATTGTTGTATAAAGAAATTTGGTAAATAGAATTGGTTCTAATTAGGTTTGATTCTTAAAAATATTTTGTTAAATAGAAAATATTTTGTTATATGGAACTTTTACTGTTTATATCAATTTATATATAATAAGAGATGACTAGATGAGTTTATGAAATTGCAATATTATTGAACAAAAAAAAATGTATTCCAAGAAATGTAAGCAGTGAGTTAAAATATTATTTGTACAACATTCTTATTAAAGATAACTTAATTATTAATTGTTAAAAAAATAAAGAATAACTTGATTATACATTTCAAGTACTAAAATTTTAATTAATTTAAACAGTACCATATTCATAATTTAAGTTGATCAGTGATCACTAATTTAACGTATATTTTATTTAAACAGTGTCTATATTATGCTTGCATAAATAAAAACAATTACAAGCTACATAATAATATTAATATAACTAGTTTTAAATTCAACATTTAAAATATACAAATTGTAATAAAGTTAATACCTAAATTTAATTATTAATAAGCTAAAACTACATCTTATAATACCGTAAAGATATAAGGATACATCATTACTTTCACAAAATTGAGTATGGCCAGTATGGGAATAATACATTTCTCTGTTGGTGGGCCACATTAATGAAATTTAGCAATTGCGCTGGCCACTAATAATTTGTATAAAAAAGAAAATTTTAAATATCTTGAAAACAACTGTATTTTTTATACTGTACTTTGTTTCAACCCAAAAATTGGGTTAGGGCCAAATGTGGCCCATGTGAAAAGGTTTAAGCATAACTAATATGTAATATATAATATTATTCTATTAATTGATCTATTGTGAATATAATTAATATTTATAAATTATTTAATATAAATGTAACATGATTAATTGTATTTAAATGGTATGTCTGCTTTTTAAAATTTGGTATTATGTTCAGTCAATTATTAACCAACATGTAAAACCATTAACCAATGCAATATTAATATGTAAACGGTTGTAAAAAATTTTAATAATTTTTTTTTTTAAACATTTAAAATAACAATATATTATGACATATTACTTTTTTTTTTCTTCAAAATTAAGATATTAAGTTAATTTAAAATACCTGTATTTGCAATTTTGGAAGCTATTAAGTCAAATTGTCCTTCAATTAAACGTGTCCACTCTTCAGTATGGGGTAGTTCAAAATCCCGTTCAAAATCTTCTTTATTATTAGTCCTGAAAAATGTCCTTATTTGGCGTTTAGCTAAGTCATCCTATAATAAAAAAAAATAGTGAATAAAAATTAATATACAATTTCAAAAGTTTTAATCTTTACTTAAACATACTTCATTCATATTCCAACGAGCATGAAGATAACTCCATATTACTTTACTGGGTACATTCATCTTAAGACGATCACTGAGTTGAGATTGAATCTTTGAGATAATGAAATACTTCAATAATCCTTAAATGCAAATAAATTAGGCAATTATTTCATTATAATTATTATATTAATCAAAATTAATAATAGTGCTAGACGCTAGTAATAGTTAGTTGGCAGTACTTAAAGTACTTACCGATCAAATACCCCCCTCCCCCACATTTGTACACAATACAACATGTATATAATAATATGAATACATATTTGTGTATACTGAATATGTCTATTAAAATCTTTATATCCCCTCCCGTGAAAAAGTCCTAGATACGCTGCTGGTGGGTAGTCCCGATTAATACCTGAGGACTATTTTTTTTTTTATCTAGGTATAATAATTAAAGACAGTTATGTATTCATTATATATATCGAGAGTCAAATGTCTTTGGACAAATTATTTTAGTAGCCACCAGTCTTTTAGCATTAAAACATGTGCAAATTATTCACTCAACATACAAAAAGTATTTTTTTTTATGAATAAATAATTAGAAATCTTACTTGAGAATTAGTACTTGGGTAGTTACTTGAGAAAACTTAACTTTACAAAAAAAAAGTCAAGGGGGAGATCTATCCCCCCTGTAAATACGCCACTGTTTAAGCCATGATAGTAACCAATTTCCTACCAATTAATGGAAATTGTACTAGGTATTTTAAAATTTGTAAATGTGGTTAATGTATACCACGGTGAATCAAATTGTGTTCTCTCCCCAGTTCTCTCTCAAACAGGTGAATTAGCGTATCTGTGTGATGTACCTAATGAGACATTTTAGAAATGAAAAAAATTATGAAAGACTAGATGGACTTAACATACGGTTATAATTTTATAAATCAATCTGTAAAAACTGACCCTCCGGTTTCCGTTTAATCACGCTATGAAACACTGCAAGTGTACGCTCATCGTTCCAGAAATCTTCTCGTTCAGTTGCTAAACTGTCATTTGTTGTATTTTCTTGTGTAGCTTTGAGTATCCTCTTTGGACTACGTTTTCCGCGTGACATAATTTATGTTGTAATTTTGTAAAATACTCAACAAATGTCAATTAGATGCTAAAAACTATTAGCTTTTACTTAAAAAAAGTAAATTAACAGAAAAATTACAGAAATATAAAAACGATAGACGTATTTTTATTTAAGTTAAAATATTCAATATTGGTGATTGGAAAAAACTCAAGAAAGTAACACAGATACACAGTGTCTCAGTTAGTACTCAGAAAACGTCCGAAAAGGGTGCCCACACAAAAATATTAAATATTATATTAATATTATTATTAAATAATAAATATTATATTATATTATATTAAATAAACCACTAACCAGCATGGCGGCATGATCGCCAGATTACTGCACGCATATATTTTTGACATTTTTGTTCTTCCCCAGACTTGGAAGAAAAACTAATATCATGGAAAACTCATAGAAAAAAATGTTATTCCCACAGGACGCATATAATGTTCCAGAAAAAAAAAGGCCAGAATGTAGATTTGTCGAATGTTTATTTACAGAAAATAATATTACAGAATTGAAAAAAACCAGAATATAAAAAGCCCAGAAAATATTTGAACAGAAAATAATATGAACGAAAATAAATATTACAGAATGTAAACTGATAAGAATATATATCAGTAGAATGTAAACATACAGAAAATAATATTGCAGAAATTCTGCTGAGTGTATTATTCCAGAATGGAATATAACAGAACACAAATTTACAGAACGTTATGATGCATAACAAATGTTTGCATAAAATATTTTCCAAGGAAATATTTTAACTGAAAATTATATATTAGAAAATATATTTCCAGAAGTATACTTATTAACATATTTTAGTTGTTAATTAAAATGCGTGGGTACAAAATATAATTTTTTACGTATTTCTGTTTTTAAATTAATGTCAGCTGCTAATATAGTTATAGTAACTAGTACACAGATACTAAAAAATAATTATTCTAAAAAAAAAAAACAATTAAGGGAAAAAAAATCAACGATAAAATAAGAAAAAAGTTATTCTAAAAAACTACAGTTATAATTATATTTTGTGTGTAATATAATTGTATATAGGTACCTAACCAGGCTAACCATTTTTTTATACCATTCATAATTATATTTATCAACTCATACCTAATTATAATTTAATATTTATTATTTTGAGGTATCTACTAATTTATTACTAGTGTTAATATAATATTTTACATTTTTGAAAGACAAAAAACATGTTACAATTAAAGTACTAAACCATTCATATTTAATAATAATAACAACTTCTGAAAAACTCCGCCAACACAAAAATCTAATAAACATTAAATCAAAATATTGTCAATGGAATAATAATTATAAGTTCCAACAGTCATTTTTTTCAATGTAAAATAGTTAAAGACATGCTCATTCTTTTAAAAACTAAACATAATATTTAAAAATAAAAATAAAAAGTAGTCATCATAGTCGATGCTTAAGAATAAGTAGGTATTGTTTAAGCTCAGGCACGTAGCCAGAAAATGTCTACTAGATGGGCCAATAATGTTTGGCCCTTTTATTATTATTCATAATTTGTCTTTATGAAATTCTTGTAGGGGGTATTCAATACAAAGAATCTTGTTAATTTAAATAATTTACCTTTTGTTGGTACTTAATTGGTTAAAATTTTTTTTTTTTTCACAACAAGTTATACCTATTATTTACCTATTTAAGAATTAAAAAAATAGAAAGTAGGTACCTACCTACCTGATAATAAAAAAAATAAATATAGAATTACCTTCATCTTCACTTATGGGATACATTTTTCATGCTATGAAAAATAAATCTACATACATATTTAAAATAATAAGCTGCTTCAATTGTTCAACTTCTATTAACAAAAATTAATTTATATTTGAATACTTATCAAAAATAATAGGGATAAATCAATAAATGATCATTGGTTTTTAAATTAATATAATTTTTAAAGAAACTCAAATTTATTTTTAAAAAAAACACATACTAGTAGAAAACATTAATAATACACTTATACTTATATAAATATTGAAGCTAGTCTATTATTGTTTATAAAACAGGTATCAAGACCCTATTATATTATATTTTTTTTAGAGAAAGTTATCCACGGTTCCGCGAATATAAAAATTAAGTTATTACAATAATAATTGTATTACCTAGTAGTAATCACAGTAGATTTTTCTCAATGTGCATAATCACATTTTTGATAATTAGTAAAAATAGTTATATTTTGAATTTGGGGGGCCCTGGGCCAGAGTATATTTAGGGTGGGCCCGGCCCATCCAGGCCCCCCTGGTTACGTGCCTGCTTAAGCTATACTTACAACTCAAATTAGATTCATAAACTTTGGCTAAAGTCCTAAAGAAAAGAAAAAAATTTATCTTAAGAATTGCTTTTTATTTATTCTATTTAATATAAATAATTTGTTTTTTTTTCACTATCATTAAGAACTTTAGCGTAAACTATTATAAAAGAAAAATAATAATAGTTAATTTTTATTTTTTTTAATATACTTTTTATATTATTATAGGTATGTTTTTAAATTATATTCATTGATATACTTATATCATTAATATTCAATCATGTACATTACTTAAGTAGGTGATAGACAATAGTAATAAATATCAACAATAAACTCTGGAATTTTTGTTTAATGAATTATAAAATAGAGTTAGAATAAATATATAAAACCAAAAAATTTCACTCATCAGCCAAACTTAATTTTGTATTCTTAATTCTAACCAATATTAAAAAAAATACATAGTACATACCAACAAAATAAAGGTTTATATTGATTAATGTTTTTCAATAAAAAAAATGTTTCCAGATTTTCTAAATTGTCTATCCATTTAACATATTTTTTGATTTCTGTTATTAATGCCTGTTTAGGAGTCCAAATAACCAAATAACATAATTGACAATTTTTATAGTTGGTTTTGAATCTGGTCCCAATATGAATGTGTTTTATTTACAAATAATTAATTATTTTCCTCATATAAAATATAATCATGATTTTTTGTAATTTCAACTTCAAGAACTTCATTCCTATACTTCCACGAACATTTAACTTCTATAATATGACTTGAATTAACAAGTCCATCTGGTGTAGCACGCCACTAGCACCTAACAATCCACTATTTTATAACAACAGCCCAGTTGGTATTACATTTACATTTTGGTATTTTACTGGGGCCTTAATACCACAAACATCATTAGTATTACCCCATTGTACAGCATGCACACCTGTAATGTTATTATTATTTAATATTTTCCATTGTTTAAATAATGACTTTGGGAACTTATTTCTTTTACAAGCAGCTATCACTTTTCCAAAATTACTAGCTGTCAATCTATGTTGCCTATAATCACTATAATGAAACCATAAAAGATTTTTTTTGCCGTCCTGTAGTGTCTTTAACCAACTGTAATATAGTACTGGCCAAGGTGGATTGATCAATCCACCTTGGTACTGTCATTAATATGGAGTTTAGTGTATAACAACTTTTTAAGAGAAATAAAAATATAAAATATTTTAACTAAACTTCTAATTTCTGGATCAAGAACCATATTACAAATAGTCTCAACTAATATCACATTATTTTCAAATGGTTCTGTTTCAGGTTGTAACAACCAAGGAAAACCTACAGGTTCTGCTAAATAGTAAATTAGATGATTCCTCCTTAAAAATATTTATATCTGTTTCTGAAACAATGGCGTTTGGAAAATCATTACTATCCATGTATTTGATTAATGATTTTAATTTCTGTAGACAAATTATTTTTTCTAACACTGAACAAACAAGGTTTATCAGTTGAACTTAGATTATAATGAGTCTCTAGAAGGCAAGAGCATCTAGAATATTTTGTAATACAATCATCATTCATTAAAATTTCAACCTTATATGGACTACCCATACTAGGTTTCCCTAGACTTTCCCTACAATTATACCTAGATAAGGACCCATTTGAAGTTTAAGTACAAATTCTGAATGTTCCATATTATTATCTAGTTTATAACAGTTGCTACTTCCAAATAATAAACAGCAGGTACCTAAATAAGCAATAACTATATGCAAACTAAATAATATCTAAATTGAACTAAGTTATTGAACAGTTATTTAATTCGAATTCAGCTATGTTGTATACGCTTATTGTAAGTTGTAGTAGTCACTGGTCCGAAGTAGGCAAGTAGCGCAAGTGGCAAGTGCAGTACGAGTACCTACTACCTAGTGACTAGTGAGTACTTTATAATAACACTTTCGTTGACTCGTCATCTTCTATCCCCGACCGCCGCTGTTGCAGAGCGCCTTAATCTTTATCCGCAGCCCTCTCAAATAATTTCACGGTATTAGACATTACTACATTAGTGTGATTAGTTCAAAAATTATAACGAATCAACCTATTATGAAACTTATCGTAAGATTTTAAGAACATTATCTGTGTTCGTTATTTCGTATTATCGTGTTAACGATAATCCAATTTTTGGAAAGGTTTGCGAATCAGGCCCATGCGCAGTATTTCAGAATGGGGGGCAAATAGTATTATAACATATTTATATTTATTATTATTTTGTAAGTACCTATAACCTATATATTAAAAGTGTTTCTTAACAACACTATAAAATACAAATCATTTTTTTAATAAATTTACATGACGAGGGACAGATCGTTGTGATGATTATAAATAGGGCTAGGATTTATTTGCAATAAAAAATTATTAAATATGCATTTGGTTTATTAAAAATATGCAAAAATATGCAATAAAAATATGCTTGAATAAACCAAATAAATATTATTTAAAAAACACATTTTCTATCAATTTTTTTTAAATACCACCCACAAAAAGGGCGGGTAAGTGGATGTCGCTCTGCTGTACAGTAGGTTACAAGTGAGTCACTGTAATGGATTGTGTTAAATTTGAATCCAATGATATAATATCATTGTATAAGAAAAACGATTCTGAGCGAAGACGGTCAGTCAGTTGTCAGTCTATAATATCTTACTAAGTGTAATA